GTGCTGGCTCCAGAATAATGTTGGTGGGCTCCTCTAATCTTTGATCCAGTTTTCTGAACTTATTTGACAAACTTACCTCTGTGCCTGCTTGTGTATTTACATGAGGTTATTAATGGCTGAAACCAGAGTTCACTCCAGCCTAGATCTAAGCAGGTATCTCATCTCTAGCAGTCCTCAGTGCAGTGAACTGGGCTGTTTCTTCTTCAGCCGACTGTGGAGATCTGAAATGATATGCTCCCCAGTCTAAGTTAGTTAAAAATACCCACCAAGCACGAAGAATATGAGCTGATGGAGAGTTTAGGACAAAGGCTTGCCCGCACAACTTCTGAAAGCCCTGTAATTTCTTCCTTAGAGACAGAGGAGGAGGAGGAATTTGTCTCTGGAGAGCAGCTGTTTGGGTACCCCTCACAGCTACAGGAGACAACAGGGAATGAGTTGCAGAATCGGGGTAGAAGCTTAGCATCTTCAGAATATGTTCAATGTTGGTAATGGGGGAGCAGCTCAACACATCACCTCATAATCAATCTGATATGATTTCTAGGACGTGGAGGTCTCAGAATTTCCACGTGAATGGTCATGGTCCTCTCTCGCGAGCACAAGGATCCTCTCCTCTTATGGGTGGAGGCGGTTAATTTCAGCCTCCCCACTAGATGTTTTGGCTCTTTCATCACTATTGTGGGATGTTTTCTCTTAGAATTGAGATAAAGGGAGGAGCTCGACGAGATGAAAGTGGCTGACACAGCTGTTAGGTTTGTGCAGCTGGTGAGATAACGGTGAGGTGCCCTGAGTGAGTAGGGAGCGCAGATAGCTGAAGGTGCTTATAGCTTGAGGCAAAAGAGTCACTGTATTCGAAATGTTAACACTGCTTCTCTCCACAGGTGCTGCCAGATCTGCCCAGTTTCTTCAGTAATTTCTCGGTTTTTGTTTCCGATTTCCAGCACCTGCAGTTCTTGGTTATACTGTAATAGTTTCAAGGTATGAGGGGAGTGTGCTCCATTTAAGGATGATGCTGCATGAATGATTTAGATGGTGGCACCTACCTTGTAATGTGCAGAAGATGCTTCCTTCTTACTGCACTGATCCAGGTGTCAACTTCAGATCAGGTTGGCAGAGTCTGGTGCCATGGTTTCCTCTGGCAGTCCTGGGAAGAGAGGACAGCCCTCTTCTCCATCACCCTGTCAACTAGGATCTCTACATTCCTGCTGGCAAAAAGGGATTGCCAATTTGACTTTCTCCAATGTCTCCTTTGGAATTGTGCAGTGGCTTATCACGAAAAATTCCTGGTTTGCAGCTGCCATTTAAACATGGCACCAACAGCATGAATGCTAGAAAATCCTTTCACCAGCAAGCACTTCTGTTGCTGACGATAGCAAGATTGCATGCAAATGCTATTGTGGAGGTGGGGATGCATGATTAATAAGATGAGCAGCAGAGAATTGCATGAGAAGAATCGCAGGGCTCATGGAGAGCTCAGTCAAAAATATGGGACAACTCAGCCCATTAACTCTGTTTTTCTCTCTACAGATGTTATTTGACCTCTATTTCCAGGATTTTCTATTTTTATGCACTAAGTGTGCAAGACTTTCTTCTTTGTGTGATTAGTTGCTTGCAGTTTAAACTTGCTGTGTCAGAAAGCACCTATGGTTCCATGAAAGGCTTCTGAAACCCAGGGTAGAGTTTCAAAATCTTTCTGATGAACTTTCCTCTCACTCAGATACTCAAAGCAAGAAGTAATTTGCTATTTTAATGTGGCAACAGACACACAGAATTCTAGTGTTTTATTATTTGATTTTCTGAATACAAACTAAAATTTTGATTAAAGAACAATTTTATCTATTTACTAGAAACTCACCAGAAGTATTCTTCAAAATGGTAACGTTATTTATTAGATGAAACATGCACCATTTAAACTTTCATTTTTATAATTCTACATTTACTTCACTCAAATATTTTATATCCAATAGCACTGAATCCACTTGTCTTCAGCTTTTCAGATTGCTTTAGCCTGCCTGTCAGTTTGAAATTGGTTGCTATGTTTGAGTGTACACACAAAGAAATCCTGGAGATACTTATTGATGAGCCTACAGTTTTTTTGACTTCTTGTGATATCTGTCTCTATAAGATGCACTGTAGCACTCACTCTACCCCTCAGGAATATCTTCCATTCAGCATGCACATTTTCAATAAAGCTCACATCCTGAAATAACTGGTGCTTGAGGGGGAATTTCTCAACTAACTGTTCACTGTCCAATGTAGGATTATCTTGTGTTACACTGTGATAGTTCTACTGCTATTATTGAAACCCTTAAACCTAAACAGTAGACAACACACTTTTTATCTTTGTTCCAGAAAGTAAAAGCATCCTCCAAGGGAAAAAAAAACTTGTACCAAAGAATTAGCTATTCTGTAAATTTGTGGATGACAATGAGCATTATGAGGATGATAATGCAAAATTGTAAAGACCTTAAGTGAATCAGATTTATTATTTCCAACTGATTATGGCTATATTCTTTCTTTCTTAAAATTGGAATATCCACGTCATTTCATATACTCAAACTATGGAGATTTCATTTCAACCTTATAACCCACAATGAACAGAAAGCAACCTAACCAAATATCATTGTCTTTCGAATGTCACTTAATAGATGGAAAATTATGTGAACTAAAATTGCATTGTATTTGGCAATGCAATGGTGGTGGCTGTGTGAAGCAGCATAAACTGAGAAAAACAGACCAACTCCATTAATCAAAAGAGATTGTGACATTCTTGAAGAATAAAAGATACTTAGCACTTTAACCTGTAGATAAAATCTTCTCTGCACTTTTGGTGGATTGTCCCAACATCACCTGCACATGCTGACATCAGGGCTGTGCAGGAGAGTTGGAAGCTCCCTGAACTCTTTTTGGAGGGTGAGTATAATGAGGGATGAACGTTTGCACGGCAGCTGTTATCTGGATTGCTGAAAAAAATGCATTTAGTGCTGCAAGGAATGTTAGAAGATTGAAAATTAATACAGATCAGGATTAGGAACACAAATGATCCAACAAATATTTCAGCAGAAATCAAATTTTGCTACTACAGTCCATTGTTCATTGTTTGATCAGTTCAGGCAAGGTGTGGTTACTTAGGTAAACTGTGCCAAGACTGGGTTCTGTAAGCACCGAAGCAGACACTTTAAAACACTGTTGTTACGGACCAGGCAAACCCCCTCAAAATATATTAAGACAGCCGAGACCCTAATCTCTTGCTATTTTAAAGGCAAGTACCAAGCATTGCAATCCAAATGCAATTTGATGGGTTAAACTACCACAGAATCCTAGAATCCCTACATGTGGAAACAGGCCATTTGGCCCAACAAGTCCACATCGCCCCTCCGAAGATCATCCCACCCAGTCCCATTCTCCAAACACATCTAATCTACACATCCCTGAACACTATAGGCAATTTAGCATGGCCAATCCACCTAACCTGCATATCCTTGGACTGCGGGAGGAAACCGGAGCACCCAGAGGAAACCCACGCAGACACAGGGAGAATATGCAAACTCCACACAGACAGTCTCCTGAGGCTGGAATCGAACCAGGGTCGCTGGCACTGTGAGGTGGCAGTCCTACATATTGCATTCATATAGTTACAATACAAGAAAAGAAAGAATTGAAATGATTAACAGAATAATAGATTATTTAACCATTAAACAGTAACTGTTTCAATATAGTAACACTCCATAAACACATCCTTGGCAAAGGCGCATTCAGTAAAATGGATGGCAATTCTAACAGCAGGAAGAGAACCTCTAACTTTTAGCTGAAACAGAGAGAAGAAAGACAGCTTCCACATCCAACTTCAAGACCCCAGCAGTACCATCTACTGAAAACTAAAACTAAATATCCTAGTTCTGTGGGAGCTTGACACGATCCATTCAGGCTGCTTATATTGTTCCAACTTTCTTTTTTAAAAAAAAAAAGGCCTCACAACCTGTTTACTCTATTGGCTCCGAGTAGACTGCTCATCATCTCTCTCTCAATCTTTCTTCATAAATAAAACCAGGACAAAATACACCTCTTAAAGCCATAGCATTGTCACACTAAATAAAGCTTCTATAGATATACAATCTGAGTGCATCATCTAGGTATCTCTCTGAAGGATTAAAATCAACAAATCCTTCATGTTGACAAAATATACTCAAATAATTGAAGAGAATGTTGCCAGGTTTACATTTAACTACAAGGTTTGATACCAGAAAATAATCAAACAGTGACATTACACTTTTAAAAAAAACAAGTTGAGTTCAAGTCAATATTTCTAAAATCAGCGTTGCAAAGATGAAGGTTAAAAAAAAGAATCAGCAGTTTTATCATTTCCCTGAATATGGAAGTCCCCAACTATTGGATGCAAAACTTTAAAGCACCCATTACAATAAATGTTAAAAAAAAAACTGCATGCTTTTCACTTTATTCAGTAGCACACGGAACCAGCAAGCTTCCATTGACATTGATAGATTCCATTCTATTATTTAACTGCTCCTGATGTTATTCTATGTCAGTAGAATATAAAAACTCCGCACCTTCAGTTAGCCACTGTCCAAAATTGTTGAGATGCCATAACTCCTGACACACAACCACAGCAAAACATTCAGTATCATCTTAAGGCAATGGTGAAAACAGAACTTTAATAATTTAAATTTCAGTAAAATTAATTCATTGACATTTTAACCTAATGTCGCAGTTGGTACTTAATAGTTGCTTTCCACAGACAGCAACACCATGTTAATTGGAATTGCTACATCTTATATAACAATAAATGTGCCAGACTTATAATTACTTGCAACTGAATAAACACCTTAATGAACATCAATTCAGATTAGAGTATGTAGATTGCATTCACATAAATGATACAGCATAACACAACATTAACACAACACTGGCAGTGAGGGACAACTCCATGAATACACACAATTGGAATAAATGGCAGGTTATAAATCCAGTCACACATCAGGTACCTTGAGCTGTTCCTCTACGACCTGAGTGACCTCCCCAGCCATGGATTCCAGTTTTTCCTGAATGGGATTTGATGAGCTAGTGATTCCTGCTGCCCAAGAAGCTCCTCGCAGATGATAAAGACTTGGCAATAGCTAAAGGTAAAATATATTTATAATGAGATAAATTGCTATCTAAACATTTGTTACTCCTCACTTTTAACCAAACTACAGTAGATTGATAAAATGCAGTTGGCTGATTCTTTATAAACTTGGATAATCTGCCAAAGGGTAGCTGGGCAATGTTGGGGAAAAGAATTTGGGTTAGATAGCACCCGCATAGAGACAGAAACAGAACAGTTCTGATGAAATGTAATAAATCTCTCTCTACATAGATGCTGTACTCTTTCCCCTAAATATTATCTTCATTTCAGGCTTTCAGTGTCCATAATACTCTGTGTTTGTCATAGATTTCAATACATTATAAGCCAGGTCAAGTCCTACACTGGACTTTTAGCTGCTTCAGCGTGCCTGCTGAGACAGATTCCAGGGAATAACTAGTATACTGAGGACAGGAAGGAAAAAAATGGAAGTCAAGTAAAATAGATTGCATTATGGCATGTTAATCATTTGGACAACATTTCCCCCATTTGCCCTGCCTAACATTAGATTATCAATGATCAAATCACTATAGCCATCTCTTCATATTATCCACATACTTGTGTGAAGTTCAAGGTTTTATGCCCAAGCTTCTAGACAAAAAGTAGAGGGCTGCCTTTTATGTGGCAATAATGTTGAAATACATACTGGATCTTTATAATTGCTGATAATGAATTGACACTGGTTTTTTTTTTTGGATCTGGTATGACTGTCCCAGACTATCTACCATTAGATATGATATTTAAATGAGAAAAAAAGCTTTGTAAAAATAGAATCGCTGCAAAGTTTCTGCCAATTCCACTCCCAAAGCTTGCATGAGGTGTAGGAGAATAAATAAAGGTTTTTTTGCGTTAAATGCTGGTGGTATGCTCTTATGAGATAAATATTATTTGAGTATATACAGTATGTTGAAATTGTTACTTACTACAAAGTATTGTTTTGTCAAGTATTATTTACCATTTACTGTACAGAAAGCTGAGAGGAGATCTGGAAGAAGTTTTCAAACTCATGGGCAGGCTGGACAGAGTAGATAGGAAAAATTTGCTCCCTTTTATAAATGAAAATAAAAGAGGGGATATAGGTTTTAAAGTGATGTACAGAAGAAGCAAGAGTGATGAAAGAAAAATCTCTTTCACATAGCTAGTAATTAGGGTATGAAATGCATTGCTTGGAAATGTGGTGGAGACAGGTTTAACTGAGGCATTCAAGAGGACAATGAGTGATTAGTTGGATAGAAATGGTGCACAGGGATATGGGGAATTCACTCATAGGATGAGTGTCTCTGGCTAGGCAGCATTTATTGCCCATACCCTATTTGCCCAGAGGGCAGTTCAGAGTCAACCACATTGCTGTGGGTCTGGAGTCACATGTAGGCCAGACCAGGTAAGGACAGCAGCTCCCTTCCCTAAAAGGACAATAGTGAAATTGCCACTGGATAAGAGAACAGGAGCAGGCACAATGGGCTGAATGGCCTCCTTCTGTGCCATAACACTTCTGTGATTTTGTAATTTTGAGAATATGTTTAACTTGGGGTTAAGAGCTCTGCTAGGTGCTTCATCTAGCTTCTAACTGAACAGTTCTCATATCAACACAAAATAGTTTTGCCTAAGCCACATACAACTTCACTAAGAATGATTAGAAGACTTTAGCCATTTTTCAGTAATGCTTTATTTAGGCAAAATTAATGACATAGACTGGCAAACCACAGGAAAGTCCAATGTTTTTGCAGTATAATCCGTGACTTCAGAGATCCTGATAAGTCATCTCTCTTTTTTTAAAACGATCAAAATGTTTGGACAACAAACGATCAACATGTTTGGACACGTTATGACACATCTTCACGGTGGGGGAACTTTATATTTCTGGCCCAGAGGTAGAGACACATTCACTCTGCCTCAAGATCTATCCAATACTCATTTTTTTTGATCACAACACTAGAAAGATTCATAAAACAATTGAAATACAAATTACAAAAGAAAGATCACAAACAGGAATGGTAAAATGAGGAACAGCATTCAATCTGATCTTTATTTATCCATCTGGAATGATTCGACAGCCTGTCTCCTGCCACAATCACATTGGAGGATTTTACTTCTGCAATCCCAACTGAAGGTCCAATTCAAGTATTGAAAACTTCTGATAGCCCTAAATTATTAATTTACTGATTTGAATGCATGTCCTATTGCCAATTTTTCATGGTTAAGCTTGATTTATCATTTCCATTTACTACCTTAAAAGTTTATATGGTCAAGCTGTCACTAACTTCTTTCAAGACCAAAAAGCTGAAGTTGATCAAATTTTTCCTCATAACTCAGCCATTTGGATATTGCGGATCAAGTCAGGCTTTTGTCCAGACTGCTTCCAGCATTTGAATGTATTTCTTGTGTTTCAGTAATCAGAACTAGACACAGTACTAAAAATGCAGTGCAACTGAAGTATTTCAGTTCCTCTGGTTTCCTCTGATTTGTACCATAGGTCATATTTTGTTTCCTTTGTTGATTGCTACTTCATGGTAATTCAAAATTGAAGGCCCAACTTCACCTTCTCAAGGGTAACTGGGGATGGAAAATACACACCTTGTCAACAATGCCCATATCCCAATGACAAGTGGAAAAATTAAGTTTACTAAAACCACTAGATTTCTCGATGATTTATGGGCATTTGGACACCATTCTGGATGCTTTATTCATCATCTTTTCTTCCTGATGCAGTATATCACAATCATCATTCACCTAATCACTTCAATATATTTACATTTTGTCCAAATGTAAAAGGCTGAAAGTGATCTAATAAAGGGTATCAAGGCAAATAAAAGTTTTGATAGAGTGGATACAGAGGGAATGTTTGCTGTTGTGGGCAAGATCATATGTAGAGACTATCAGTATAAGAAAGTCACCAAGACATTCAATAAGAAATTCTGAAGAAATATTTTCAACAGTGGTGATAATGTGGAACTTATTATCACACAGAGTGGTTGAAGTGAAGAACATGCAAGGGTAAACTTAACACTGAAGTGAAAAGGAAGCAAATGACAGAGGAAAAAAAAAGGAAGAGGTTTAATAGCAGCAATTCTACTTGTCTCTCACCTCCACATGATTCAGTCTATTTCAGACTTTTCCAAATTTTTCAACTTTTTGGTGTCTATTTCTGGAGATAGGCCGTCAACAAATATTCACGACAGGCCCATGACTCTGAGCCACCAAGACCACACTTATTCTGTCCCAGGTCCATTTGTTTTGATGATGCAACCTTCTATATCAGGCCTTCTGAAATGGTTTATCTTTGTCCTCAGTTGAGGATTTCAAACTTGTATACATTTAACTGTCTGACAATTTCATGTCTTACCGTTTTGGAATTTTTGGCATCACGCATCAGGTTTTCAGCTAGTCGCACGTCCTCTTGAACAGCATCTATATCTGAATATCTCAATGAGTTGAGGTGATCCTGCACCTTTACACACATCCTGTCAATCATCTGTTGTCAAAAACAGCATCGTCATCCAGAATCAAAGATTAAAGTTGACGTGTTGACAGTTTAATGTTCATGAGCAAATACCAGACTTTTTTTTATTGTCTAGAACTATTTGTCCATTTCAATTAAATTACAAAGACCAAAGATGGTTTAAAGAGTACAATTGGACCATGATCAGATGGGCCAATGGGCTGAGGAGTGGCAGATGGAGTCTAATTTATGAAAATAAATGAGAGGTGTTGCATTTTGGAAAGGCAAATCTGGATAGGACTTATGCACTTAATAGTAAGGTCCTAGGGTGTGCTGCTGAACAAAGAGATCTTGAAATGCAGGTGCATTATTCCTAGAAAGTGCAATCGCAGGTAGAACAGAATGGTGAAGGCGGCATTTGATATGCTTGCCTTTATTGGTCAGTGAATTGAGTATAGGAGTTGGAAGGTCATGGTGCAGCTGTAGGGGACATTGGTTAGGCCACTTTTGGAATACTGCATTCAATTCTGGTCTCCCTGGTATAGGAAGGATTTGGGAAACTTGAAAGGGACCAGAAAAAATTTACAAGGATGTTACACCAGGGTGGGAGGATTTGAGCTACATGGAGAGGCTGAATAGGCTGGGACTATTTTCCCTGGAGTGTAGGATGAAAGGTGACCATATTGAGATTTATAAAATCATGAGGGACATGGATAGGGTGAACAGCCAAGAGTTTTTTCCCCAGGATAGGGGAGTCCAAAACTAGAGGGCATAGTTTTAAGGTGAGAAGCGAAAGAGTAAAAGGGATCGAAGGGACACCTTTTTCACGCAGAGGATAACACGTGTACGGAATGAGCTGCCAAAGGAAGTGATGGAGGCAGGTACAATAATAACATTTAAAAAGGTATCTGGATGGGTATATGAATAGGAAGGGTTTAGAGGGACATAGACCAACTGCTGGCAAATAGGACTAGATTAATTTAGGATATCTGGTTGGCATGGACGAGTTGGACCAAAGGGTTTGTTTCCATGCTGTACAACTCTATGACCTTAAGTCTATTATGCTGTACCTTTCTAATCAGCTTACTGTGAACAGTCATTTCTCTTAGAATGAAACATAGTCAAAAATGTTTAGATTTGTTCTTGTTTTCATACATTGTTGACTATGTTTCAGGTTACAATCCTTGCAAACAGCTTGCTTTATATCATTTTCACATTATCCTAACATCTGCAGAGTTCACATATATAAAAAAAGTCATAGTAATCGTTCACGATGTTGAGTTAGTTGAGTTTTTTATTTTCACCCCTTCATTGTAACTGGCTAGGAAACGTGTGGGTAAAATAAATATCAGGCCCCTCTTTAAAATTTGTAACCAGGTTTGAACTACTTTGATCACTTCTCACTACCACCTCCATCACCACCACTCACATCTCTGCTTGTTCCCAGCTTGTTACAGTCACAGTATTTGTTCCAGTTCTGTTTCTGGTTAATGGGAACCCCCAGGATGTTGATAATGAGGATTCAACAATGGTAATCCCAACAAAAGTCACAATGAGGTAGCTAGATTCTCTCTTGTTGGATATGGCCATTGCCAGGTGCCTGGGTGTCATGGATGTTGTTTTCATCCAACGAAGTTACTTCATGTCTTCTAATGTTTTCTTTGTACCAGACAAACATTAAAAACCTGGTCCTGCTGTTTCATTATTATACAATGTTCCTTACGTAGATGACCCATACTTGTGGGATCAAGCTGTATGCCAATGATATTGATAACTACTTCATGACAAAAATCATCAATCCCTCAACTCCATTATGCAGCTTTATGGGCTAAGTCACTAATATAAAGTGTAAAAAGCAGACAGCCCACCACAGACGCCTATGGAACTCTATTCATCACATCATGTCAATCAGAAAAGTCTTCCACCCAACCTGCACATAATGCTGACAATGCTTGACAGAGCCCGCTGTACTTAGACTGTTACTGACTTTGATGAGTCAGCTCTGTTCTGCTTTTGTTTAAGATCCAACTTTAGCTAGCTCTCTAATTAATTAACCACATGACAGCTGCTCTCAGTAGACAGCTTCCTTGTTTACACCTGAAAGAAAATTTAGATTTGAAATTTAGTGTTAAATATAGTTAATCCTTAAGAGAGATTACCTGTTAACTCTCTCACAATTACTAAACTCACAAGTCTTCCATTCTGTGCAATTGTTGAAATCCTGTTCAACTACTAACAGTGTTAAACTCTAGATTTGTTCCAGGGTCAAGTACATTTGCTTATATGGTCTAGTATATACCCCAACCTATCCTCAGTAATTCCTTGCTTTTTTTAACATTTAAATTGTTACCAATTATCTCTTCACTAATGTGAGCATCCCTCAATCACTAACTTCAGGTAATCTCTGTAATGTTTCACAGTGTTACACCTCATTGTGTACCCTCTGTACCTTTAACTGTAGTGATCGTCTTTGCTCACTAAACCATTGCAATCAAACCATGTATCTAAAGCTCAAGCTCATCACTCCTTTCTTTATTCCCCAAAATGTCTGGAATCCTGACTTGCATCCACCATTCCTCCTCCAAAGTTCCTTGGCACATTGTTGCATACTTAAAAATGATTCTATAAATTAAAAATGTTATTAAAGAACAAGATAAAATTCCATCAGCAAGTAAATAAAACAACATTTTAAAGTCCATCACAATGGCAAACTTGTTTTTTCAAATTAGAGTTTCACATTTTGTTGTTCAGGCATAGGGTTTTGTCACATAATGGACTTGAAGTCACGTTTATAGACAAATCATCCATTACAGAGGGAAGAACACTGTAAATATTAATGACAAAAGCAAATATTAGGCAGTGAATATTACTTTGGAGCATCAATAAAAAATGCAGGCAATATTAGGCAAGTGGGCTGATAGTGTCAGTTGGCCACATGGCTGACATGATTCAGAATAGCACCAGTGTGGATTTATTTCTCACAGGGCCATTGTTGTTTCATGAGACCTGCTTCTTTGCCCTGTCTCAGACTGAAGGTAATGTAAACCACATGGAAAAAAGGCTCAGGATGAAACATCAACAATGAGCCAAGGAATTGCTTCCAGGAGAACATGAATGAAATAAATGGTAGGCACAGTACACTGACTTTAATGGGCTGCAAGCACACATGTTTTAAACTCAATAACTGGGCCAAAACAGTACTTTTGCATTAGTCTGAATTTGAAATGCAGGTGTAGCACGCTGACAAAAAGGTTCATCTATCTAATAGAGGAGCAGGGAATATTTTCAGGTATGCTTGCTGACTCAATTATTTACTGGCTGCAGTCATGAGCAATTGCATCATCACCTGTTGTGTGGTGCTGGTCACGATGCCCTGTTGTAACCTGTATGCCTGTTCCTGCAGATACTTCCTGGTCTCATGGTTTCGCAACAGGTAATTCTCAATCTGGAATAAAGGCAAAATTTTAAAAGAGAACTCTTCACATCACCATTGCTGAAGGTGCAAAAGCAGCTTTGGACATGCCAAGAAAAGAATTCTGAGATTTAGAAAGCATTGCAATTCTCTTGTGCAAGCAGAATAACTATGATGTCTGTACCAGTAAGAGTTGCTCAAATACCAAGCTACCCTGCTAAACATCGAGGATTTAGGGCACAAGAACAATTCATTATCATCTAAAAGAGCATGCGAAAGTTATAGGAAGGACAAACAGCTCTGTGAAACAGAGCTACTCAACAAGGACGTTCAATGACATTCCAGGGACTAAGCAGTGAAACACTAGGTCTACATTAGTTGTACTGTTTGTTTAGCCAAATGATCCATAACTATTTCAGGTGGAAATAATGACTGCCATAAAACCAACCTTCTGGCTTCTCTTGGGATCAATTTGGTGATATGCTACTGGTCAGGGCTAGGTCAAGTCAGAGAAACATCTTTTGTCTTTGCCAAGAGGAGACAGAAAAGCAAACTGTTACTTCTCAAATTACATCATAAGACTTGCTTTGAAACTCTAGTTAAGGCTTGCTGTGAAACAAAAATATAAATCTTATTTCAGCAGAGTGAACAGTGCTCTCATGATTATTAAAGTTTCTACGTTACATTCACAGGTGTAGACATTTATCGATCAACAGCATTTTTAAGAACCAAAGTAGACCACATTCATTAGGCCTTTGTGGAAAAAAATGTAATTTTCTAGATGCTGTAACGTGATCTTTTACTTGCAACAAATAGTGCAAGTGTGAATGAGAGAGTCCAATAAACTGCAGAGGAGTGCCAAAAGACGACTGAACAGTATGAAAGAGGCAGAGAGAGTCCAATAAACAACGCCAGAGGTTGCGTTGCAGTGTCTGCATTTCATCAGGGCAAGTAACCTGGACATCTTGTTATAAGAGGCAGTGACACCTTTTAGGATATGGTCTTTTCATTCAGGCAGTAGTCAGGGACAGGAGGGTATGACAGTGATGGAGTATAAAGTTTGAGAAAATTTGTAGCTCGAGTTGTGGATGAGGTTGTAGACTTGCTTGCCAAGCCGGTGTGTTTGATTAGATGTTTTGTCACCCTGCTAGATAACATCGTCAGTGCACCTCCAGTGAAGCATCTGTGTTCTGTCCCACTTGTTATTTATATGTCGCAGTTTACTGGGGTGGTTGGCATTACTTCCGGTTCTAGACCACCGACAAATAGAGCCAGAAGAAATGCCAACCACCCCAGCAAACCGAGGCATACAAGTAACAAGCGGGACAGAACACCAATGCTTTATTGGAGGCGCACTGATGATATTACCTAGCAGGGTGGCGAAAGGTCTGCAACCAAACACACCAGCTCAGCAAGCAAGTCTACAGCATCAGTGAGAGAGTAGTTGAGATGATCAGGAGGATATTTCAGAATACTCAAAACACACAATCCAGTGGGGTTTGGGGGGGGCGGTGTTAGCGGGATTGTAAGGGAGAGATGCACCATCCGTGGCTAACTCAGCAAAAATTAACATAGCATCAAACAAAGAAAAACATTTAGTTCCACAATGATGTGCCACAGGTCAGAAGATTGGACAGTCCATACAGAACATCAAAAAAATGACAAGATGAATAGTGAGGGAAGAGTTAAAGTATAAATGAAAGCTAGTTAGATATATAAAAACAGACAGTAAGAGTTTGTACATGTATTTAAGAAGGATGAGAATAAGTAAAGCGAATATTGGTCCTTTGTGTGTAGTAATGGAGGTATTTAAAATTTTAAATAAGGAACTGGAAAATTAATTAAACAAATATTCTGAGGTTGTCTTCACTGTAGAGGATGCAAATTACATACCAGAAATAATAATGAAACAGAATGCAAAAGGGACAGAAGAAAATAGAAAAATTGCATTCAGCAGGGACTGAGAAAATTATTGAAGTAAAATCTGACTGGACCTCTGTTTCTAATGCACTTCATCTTAGGGTGTTAAAAGAAGTGCCTGCTGAGATAGTAGATATTCTGACGATCAGTCATACTACACTCAGTATGTTAACTCTGCTTCTTTCTCCACAGACGCTGCCAGACCTGCTGAGCTTCTCCAGTATTTTCTGTATTTGTTTCGGGCTTACTTTGTTTTTTTGATAGTGAATGTATTGGTTTTAATCTTCTAAAATTCTCGATTCCGAAAAGGTCCAATCAGATTGGAAAATGGTAAATGTGCTTCCTTTATTCCAGGAAGGATGGAGACAAAAACAGGAAACTACTGGCCAGTTTGCCTAATGTCTATTAGATTCCCTAATATTAGGGATTAACACAATCAAAGTCCTCAGAGGAAGTAAAAAAGTAAAAGAGACAAAGGGTAATTGTTGGATGTGCTGTACTTGGATTTCTAGAAGGCATTTGACAAAGTACCACATGAAAGGTTACTTTGCAAAATAAGAACTCATGGTGTAGAAGGTAATATTTAACAATGGGTATAGGATTGATTGGCTATTAGGAAGAACAGTGTGGGCATAAGTGGATTATTTTTGGGTTGTCAGGAGGTAAGGAGTGGTGTACCACAAGGGACCTCAATTATTTATTGTCTACATAAATGACTTGGGTGCAGAAATATAGTCTGTGGTTACTAAATTTGTTGATGATACAAAGATAATAAGGAAAGCAAATCTAATCAGTTCTGAAGTCATACTGAACTCAAAACATTAACTCTGTTTCGCTCTCCACAAATGCAGAGATACCTGCTGGGTTCCCTTAGCATTGTGTTTATTTTAGATTTCCAGCATCCACAGTATTTTGCTTTGATTATATAGGAAATTTAGCTGGAAAGATGAGGAGTCTGCAAAAAGATAGCCTAGGTGATTGGGGCAAAAATTTGGCAGATGGAATATAATGTTGGAAAATGACAACTTTCACAGGAAGAATAAAAGAATAGCATATTATTTAAATGGGTACGAGGCTGTAAAACTCTGAGGTATTCAAAGGCTCTGGGTGTTCTGGTACACGAATGACGAAATATTAGCATACGGGTATATCAAGAGATTTTCAAAGCAAATGGAATGTCGTAGTTTATTGTAAGAGGAATGAAGTATAAAATTAGGGATCCTACAGTTGTACAGAGCATTGTTAAGGCCACATCTGGAGTACTGTGTGCAGTTTTGATATTTCAGAAATTATGTATTAGAAGTGGTTCAGGTAAGGTTCATTTGACTGGTATCCAGGACGAGGGGTTATTTGATGAGGAAATGTAGAACAGGCCAGGCCTGCATTCCATGGAGTTTAGAAGAAAGTGAGGTGATGATCTTATATAAACATACAAGGTCTGAGAACACTTGACAGGGTGTTTGCTGAATGGACGTTCCTTTTGTGGGAGATACTAGAACTAGAGTACACCATTTCAAAAGTCAGGATGGTGAAGAAGAAAAATTTTTTCCCAAGGTTTATGAATCTTATCCAGACAGTGATGGAGGTGATGTCAATGAATGCTTTCAAGGTGGAGTTAGGTTTTTGACTCATGAGGATCAAAGATTATTAGCAGCAGGTAGGAATTGGAGTTGAGGCCACCATCAGATCAGCCATGATTTTATCAAATGTTCGAGGGTCAAATGGCTCATTCTAAGCTCTAATTCAAAGAGTTGTATGTAAAGCTGGCTTATGAAGAATAAATATAATTGCTGCTCTAAAACTATACTTCAGGCCTTGGAAACAGCAGCAAGAGTAAAGGAAAAAGTTTTTATGATCAATCAAAAGACACATTTGAGTAATAGGTCTGGTTAGAATGAGAACTAAGTAAAAAAAACAAAATGGACTTGGATGTGCAGATTAAATTGCACCAAAAGCATGAAGGATACCATTATCCAAGGTGAAAGTCATTAAAAAAATTTTCCAGAACCTGCCACATGCAGGCAACTGCTACAACACAATTTGTCAAATTAGTTCTTAAGTAAAGGCAACAGACAAATTTAAACAACTGAGCAGCACATCTACAAAGTGCCAGCTTAATCTGATTCCAATTGGCACATTGGATGAAATCTCGTGGCAGCAAATTGAATCCTACTCACTGGCTGAAGAACAGCTGGGAGTCCTACATTGTCTTTCCATGAGGACCGATGATATTTCAAGGTAATCACAAATTAATTGGATAGTATTATATCTTAATTTAGTGGGAGGTTCAGTCATGCAGAAATCTTGCCGCTTTGACTTGCCAGCTAATTGGAGGCAGCCAAACTTGACGGTGAAGGTGGTAGACAGGAGGAGAGATATCAAGTTTGGGAGGGGAAAGACAGGGAAACGAGTGAACAAGAGTGATCGAGAGAAGAAAGGCTAAGAAACACACAAAATCACCCTCAGAAGGGAATGAGAGTAGATTGACAGCAAGTAAATTCCTGGGTTCAGGACACAAGGGCATGGCAGCAGGGTCAAAAGGGGTTTAATTGTCTTGTATAGATATAGTTACTGTCAATGAATGCATCTTCACATTGCTTCTCTTACCTGCCACACCATCAACCTCACAGAATGCTCATTGCACCAAAATCTTTCATCAATCATCTGCAGTAGTCTCCAGGACTTGGAACTTATGTCCAGCATTTCAGCAGATCCGCATTACCTTGTACACTGGCCTATGCTGCAGCCTCACCCCTAATTCTTGCTACCTCCAAGTACTCCAGTTATGACATGCACAAAACACAACAATAATCATGAACATCTCCCCTTTCTTTTCTAAGGTAAGATATCATACAAAGGAACTAGTAGAGAAGAACCAGTAGGGGACACGTCCTCAGCCTCGGGATAGAAAGGGAGAAAGAAAAAATTGCATTTAATTAAATGTTTTTCATGACGATTAGGTATCTCAAAGCTCCTTATAGCCAATCAAGTACCCATGAAATGCAGTCACCGTTGTAATCAGAATTGTTTAAGCGCATGAGAAATCTATTATTTGGTCCATTGGGTCTATTTAAGATCTTTGAATGAATATCAATGCCATTCTCTTGCCTTATCCCTCTAACCCTGCACACTGTTTCTTTTCAAATAACAGCTGGATTTCCTTTTAAATCCCACACTTGAACTTGCCTCCAGCAGATTTTCATATACTGCATTCCTCAGAACTCAATCACTTGCTGTGTCAAGAGATTTTTTTTTCTCATATCATCTGTTTCTTTTACCAGCTACTTTAAATCTACACCCCTCATTCTCAATTGTTTCAGTGGGAACAATTTCTTCCTGTCTAATCCATCCACACTATACATGTTTCAAGTTTAGAGCACATCCAAATTTTGTATCATTCATAAACTTTGAAATTACACCATGAGCAACAATCCTAGGTCACTAAAATATCAGCAGAAAATCTCCAAACACTGATCCCTGGAGAACTTCACTACAGATGACAATGATACGGTAGTTGATTAAATCTCATTAAACTTCTCAAGGTATTGCAATTCTTCACTTTTTCCTCAACTGGCCTTGAAACTGCCTCTGAAGAGAAGCTTGTTTTGTCCCTACGACCGTTTTCTATCTGCTTGATCACCCTATTAATTTATTTTCTGACTTCACACTTCCCCAGACTCTTAAAGGTGCACCCTAGTACTCTCACATTGCACAACTCCACTAACAGCTAGCTTCACCAAACCTGGATTTTTCTGATTTGCAATTTGGCTTGTTGCAGGAAGCAAATACTATTTATAGGTTTCCTTTACCTCCACACTCAGCCTTTAGTGGTACACAGTTTCTTCTAAGCCCCCACAGCTCTAAGGCGCATTCCTGAAGTCTGACTCCAACAATTACTTATCTGTGATCCCTACAACTTCCTCCTGAATTCCACCAACAGAGCCATCCAACTGCTCTTGACTTCTCATTCAATCTCTATACAGAACCTGTGTAGTTCAGTTGTCGTCCCAGCAGTACAGCTAAAAAGCTGCACTGATTAAAGTGGAGTCCATATCTCTCTCTACTTTTTATGTACTCGTTGATTTTCCTAAATCATTGCAATTTTGAACTCCTCTTCAATGACCCTGAACTCTCCCCGCTGAAAATCCTGTAATAAGCCTCTCTCCTATTGCTAGGCAGATTAAAGGAGCCACCTTGCAACTTTTGGGACTGAGTGTACTCTGAACATTCCAATTCAGAGACTTCTGGCTTCTCCAGTGTAAATGGACACAACAGGAAGCATTTCATCACATTATTAATTTAGCACCGAACTATTATTCCTAAAAATTTCTCCGCTAACTGGTCCTTCTGTCCAACTCATCCATGGTATGTCGTTTCTGAAGAACAGTACTGTTTATGATCCTCCCTTTAACAAATCCCATCCAAGGTAAAACACTCCTTCTGTATCTATGTATCACTTTGCTTTATAGTCAAAACACTTCATGGTGGCCCTAATACTACATGAAAGATATCTTCACTTAAGGAATCTTTGCAAATTGCTGTTTTTGCTGCATTATTTTCAATGTCTTTTATGGGTAATTTTGTGATTCACAAAACAGCATTTTGGCTTACAAAGATTACCATATTACATGCTGATTCAGGCTAAGTAATGTGAAATACACAATGGAAATGATGGGACAGATGATCTACCTTTTGCAGTGCTTCCTCAGTTTTTTCTGGGTTGGCCTTCAATGCCTGTGACGCATCATTGACGGGAACAGGCATAAACCTTAGCGTATAATTCCTGTGAATGAGAAGCACAGAGTTAAAAATCAATCAATCTATACACGGGTATGTCATGTACTCATTACTTATCTGAATGATGAATGTGGTTAAATTCATATGAGTACATTCAGAGTCAAGTAGCAAGCCTCTCCTAATTGGTAGCACACTTATCTTTGTCAGAGAGGGAACACTGCATTGTTTGATTTGCATTCTTTAGGCTAAGAGGTTTTACATAAAAGTTGATCTGTTGGCTGATCTAAGAGGATGTAAATGATCCCATCAAATTTCAGGAGAGTTCTCACTTATGCCCTGGCCAAAATTTAATCCTCAACTCACAATCAATTTATTTAGTCAGTATTCTGAAGAACAATCCTTATGGTCTTGAAGCATTTAACTCTTTCTCTCTCCAGTTTCTTCCCAACCTGCTGAGTTTCTCCAGCACTTCGTAGTTATTATCAGATGTCCAGTATGTGCAGTGTTTTGCTTTTAGTTTATCTAGTCATCCAATTATAGCTTATGAGTCCGTAAGAAAATTAGCTGTAGCATTTGCCTACATAATAGCGACAAAAGGTAATTTGTTAATTGTAACTGTTTTAGGAGATGATCTTGTGGTGCAGTGGACAGCATCTTTGTCTATGTCAGAAATGGTTCATTCAAATTCCAATCCAGGACTTGTTGGCCAAGCAGGTTAAGGATCAATTTGCAAGTCCCTCCAACATATAGTAAGGACTTACAGTAGTAAGAAAGACAGGCAGTAAGAGTAGGTGGTGGTTCCTGGTCAGCCATGTATGGAAATAAATTGAAACTCCTATCATCACTATCTGTAGCTAGCATCTTACAAGATCTACAGCACAGTAAAAGACCCTTTAGCCTATTGGGTCTGTGCTGGTCAAAAACCAACGTCGGATTCCCATTTTCCAGCAGTTAGTCCATTGCCTGTATGCTTTGGCATCACAAGTGCACACCTAAAAACTTGTTAAATGTTAGGCCTCTACCTCCCTCACAGGCTATGAGATCCAGATCCCCATCACCCTCTGGGTGAAAACATTTTCCCTCGCGTGCGCTCTAAATCTCTCCTCCTTACCTTAAATCTGTGTCCTTGGTCTTTGACCCCCTCCAGCAAGGGGAAATGTTTCTTCCTGCCTATGCCTCTCAATTTTATATACATCAATTATATCACTCCTCGGCTCCTCTGCTCCAAGGAAAACCACCCCAGTCTATCTAATCTCACTTCATAACCAAAATTCTCCATCCCCAGGCAACAATCCTGTAAAACTCCTCTGCATCCTCTTCAGTGCTATCACATCCCTCCTATAATGTGGATTCCAGAACCGCACACAATACTCTAGTTGTGGCCTAACTTTTTTTTTTAAAAACATAGTTTCAGCATAACCTCTCTGCGCAAGTATCCCATATGACTTCACAACTGCATTATCTACCTATCCTGCTACCTTACAGGACCAGTGGACATACACACCAAGGTCCCTCTGATCTTCAGTGCTTCCCAGGGCCCTATCATTTATCATGTATTGATTTATTGTTGCCTGCACCAAGATACAGTGAAAAGTATTGTTTTGCATGCTGACCAGAAAATCAAATCTTACGTAAGTATTCCTTTGCCTTGTTTGCCCTACCCAAGTGCATCATGCCACACTTATCCACATTAAATTCTATTTGCCACTGATCAGCCCATCTGACCAGCTCGTCTATATCCTCCTCACAAATTTACCACCCCAACAATTTTTGCACTATCCACAAACTTACTGATCAACCCTCCTGTATTCAAGTCTAACTCATTTAAATTCCACAAACACCAAGGGTCCAACACTGACCCCCTGCAAAATCTCACTGGACACAGACATGTAGTCACAAAAACACTCCTCAAACATCACCCTCTGCTTTCTGCCACTCAGCCAATTGAGAATCCAATATGCCAATTCCCTTGAATCCCACGGGCTGTTACCTTCATTATCAGTCTCCTATGTGGAATGTTATGAAAAGCCTTGCTGAAGTCCAAGTTGACTGTCGAATGCACTGCCCTCATCTACACACCTGGTTACCTCTTCAAAAAATTCAATGGGATATTGTCTTCGCTGGCCAGACAGCACTTTTCCTCATATTTCCTACCTATTTGCCCTTGAGAAGATGGTGGTGACATGATTTCTTAAATTGCTTTAATCTATTTGGTGTAATTAGACCCAAAATACTGTTAGAGAGGAGGTTCCAGGACTCTGATCCAGCAACACTGAAGGAATGTTATTTCCAAATCAGGATGATGAGTGGTTTAGAGGGGAACTTGCAAGTGGTGCTATTCTATCTACCTACTGCCCTTGTTCTTCCAGGTGGCAGTAGATGTGGGTTAGGAAATTGCTGTCTAAGGAGCCTTAGAGAATTTCTGCACTGCATACTGATGATGGTCTAAACTGCTACTACTGAGTATTAGTATTGGACAGAGAGAAGATTGACACCATATCAACGAATCAAGTGGGCTGTTTTGTTCTCAACAGTGTCAAACTTGGTGTGTTGTTGAAACTGCACTCCATGCAAATGAGGAGTATTCCATCATACTCCTGACTTGTGTCTTGCAGATGGCGGGCAGACCTTTGGAGACAGCGGGTAAGATATTCATTGCAAGAGTCTTAGCTTCCAATGACTCCTGTAGCCACAAAATTTATATGGTTAGTCCAGTTCAATGGTAATTTCCAAACAACTAATTACTTTTTTACTTCATGGACCGCCAAGGCTCGTGCACAACAGCAGCTTCTCAAACCAGAAGTCATTGCATCAGCATGCCATTTGGAGTACGTGAAACATCAAAGTGCAGCTTAGAGGGAACCATGATGCCAGGATGTTGTTAGTAGGGTATTCAGTAATGGCAATGCCATTGAATGTCATGGGGTGATGGTTAGATTCTCTCGTTGGGGAATGGCAACATTTCTTTAGTACAAATGCTACTTGTCACCCCAAACTGGACCCGAAATGTTAACTCAAATTTTTCTTCACAGACGCTGCCAAACCTGCTGAGCATTTCCAGCAACTTCTGTTTTTGTTGCATCATTTTTAGATATGCCTGGTGCTGCTCCTGGCATGCCCTCCTGCACTCTTCACTGGCACACAGTTGATCCCCTGGCTTGATTGCAGTGGTAGAGTGGGAGGTAGCCGTACAATGAGGTTGCAGAGTGTTGTTGAATATAATTCTGCTGCTGCTGGTTCACAGTGCCTCATGGATGACGAGTCTTGATTTGCTAGATGTGTTCGGCATCTATCCCATTTACCATGGTGATAGTTCTACACGAGACATTTTCGCCACAAAGACTGTACAATGGATCACTGTTACTGGACAGCTGAGTCTGCAGCAGGTAGATTAGAGAGGAGAGGATGAGGTCAAGTATGTTTTACTCTGTTGCTGGACCAAGGCTTTTTTTAAGATCTTTAGCTGAGTGGCCATTCTAGAAATCAAACTGAGCATAGGTGAGTAAGTATTGCTTGAAATGTTGTTAATAACACTTTCCATTACATTGCTGATGAATCAGAGCACGCTGATGTATAAGTAATTAGGTGCATTAGTGGATTAGTTAGGCAGGTGCCTATGTTGTAGTTGTACTAGGATACCTTAGCTGAGGATGGCTAGTTCTGCAGCAGAAGGCTTCAATACCACAATTAGCATTTTGTCACAGTCCACAATATCCAGTGCCTTTACCTATGGAGTGAATCAAAGGGTTCAAAGGCTATTGTTGTGGAAACTCGGTAGGAGTGCAAAAAGGATCATGAAGTTGGTATCTCTGGCTGAAAATGCTTCAGCTTTTTCCTTCTGTATTTATATGCTGGGCCCCGCTATTGTTGAGGATGGAACTGCTATGCAGCTATCCCCTCTCATGGATTGTTTTATTGTCCAGTATCATTCATAATTGACTGTGGCAGAAACAGAGCTTTGATCCACCGCTTCATCATAATAAAACCATTTTTTTTTTTAAAAAAAGGATATGCTCGATGCTGCTCCTGTACTCTCCAGCATTGATATACTAGTCTGCTGATTATGATAGAGGGAGGAACATGCCAAGCCATGCTATTACAAAATGTAGTTAAATAAAATCTTCTGATGCTGATGGCCTACAGTACCTCATTGATACCTATCTTGAATTGTCAGATCTTTCCTAAATCTATTTCACTTTGCAAGGTGGTAGCATCACACAACACAATGGAGTGCTTTCAGAATGCCCTTTCCCCTTGCTAACCTCAAAGATTCTTCCAAGTGTGTACAGCATGGGGGAGTGATTCATCAACTGGTGGTGGCAGCTAAGTGGTAATCAGCAGGAAGTCTATTTGCCCATTTTTAACCCAATGTCATGTAGTAGCATGAGATGCAGAGTTAATTTTGAGGACTCCTGGGCTAACTTTTTCTCAACTGAAGTTCTGCTGGATGCTCACTTGCTACAATACACAATTTCAAGGACACTCAATTCCAGTGAATGTGTGAAAGTTAAATAAACCAATTAATCAGCATGTTTTCAAGATTATCGTTCAAGCTCTTTCAGGAATTCAATATAATGCATGTTGTACAAATCTGAAAGTTTGATTCAGCTATCAGGAAATGGCAGGTTGTCAAATATTTTGACTGCCCACAGTTAAGTGAAAGTAGACAATTCAATTTTCCTTTAAATACAAGAAACTCTTCAATTCATCTGTATTTACTAAAGGTTCCAAGACAGTCAGGAAAGCAGAAACAAAGAAAGCCCTTTCTGGAAAGAACTTATTTACTGCTTAGTCTTTGATATTTTAAACAACTGTTCAAAACTGTTATGACACATCTCTGAAACAGGTGGGACTTAAACATAGGGACACTACCACTGCACCACAAGAGCTCCTCTGCTCCATCCTAGAGTCTTTCAAACACATTCCCATCTGTTCCCCATTTATAGCTACAGCTAATCAATTAGCCCCAATTAATGGTTTAATTTTTACTATATTATTAAATCCCACCCTTTAGATAAAACTTCCGATGACATGCAAAAGATCTCT